CTAAATCCTAAATCCAAAACCTTAAATCCCTCGCACTTGAGGCTGCACCGTCAACATGCAGCGGCAGGATTCGGGCCTTGCCGACCTCTTGCGGAGGCACTGAAGATTTCGAAGCAGGGTTTGGGGTTTAGGGTTTTGGGTTTAGGTTTTTAGGATTTTATGGTTTTGGGTTTTGGGTTACGTGTTGGGGGCATCAAGAAGAGTAAATCATGGTGTATAGAAAAAGGGAAGTAGAATCGTATCTCATGGTATTTAAGTGGAAGTGTTAATTAATTGAATGCATGGGGGCATCAAAAGAGAGCAAATAACAGTGCGTGATGGTATGTAATAGTAAAAGCATGGTGTAGGGCCAGTGTAGGGTTTAGGGTTCTGGGTCTAAGGGGTAGAAGTACTGGCCCGTTTGATTCTCCATCATTGGGGGTAATATCCCTATACATCCCTATGAAACCTTATAAAGCCCTATATGATGGGAAGTGTTAATTGAGCCGTCCCTCAGTGCTGTCGGCCGGCAGGTTGGACGCGGAGGTGAAACGCTTGGAAGATGGCTTGCAAGCCCAGGCCCTCGATGCCAAGATGAGATTCCAGACCCTAAGCCCTAAACCCGAAGCCCTGTACCCTAGACCTTAAACCCAAAGCCCTAAACCCTAAACCCAAAGCCCTAAACCCTGAACCCTAAGACCTAAACCCTAGGCCCTAAACCCAAAGCCCTAAGCTCTAAACCTTCCTAAGATGCTCAGATAGATGCTGGGATACGTGAGAGGGTTTAGGGCTTAGGGGTTTAGGGTTGAGCACCCAAGATGAGACTCCAGATCCAGGTGGCATTTTGGGATAGTTTATAATTTCGCCGCTTCTGGTACAAGGGACCCTATTTATGACAAAATTGGGGGCCTCGAACTTAAAGTGTCACCCAGAGATCTGTCGACACGTGACAATACCATCCTCCTAAACCCAGCTTGCCTCAAACTGATGGAGGCAACGTCCGTGATGACCTCTATCCGCCCTCGACTCGGACAGTGATTGCGGTAGACTCTGACCATCAGTCCGCTCGCGAGCCGGCGCTTTCACCGTAGACAACTAGGTGAGTTGTGGCAGACACCTTTGAAAGATGCATGATACACAGCACAAGAACACACCACAGGACACATTGATCTCGGAACCGCAGTAGAACAGTTCTGTTTCTTTGGACACACAAACACAACTGGCTTGGGGCAAGTGTTCAAATCAGGAAAGAAACATTCATAAGTCTCTGAGTGACACTAAGCCAAGGCTCAGATGAGGCCCGATGCTCAAAGGGTTGTCTGCGCAAAAGATGTGACAATCCCACATCCCATGTCCCGCAGTTGCACCACACCATTTGGGCCTGTATTTCCGTACTTGTGCTCTTGGTAAGTGTGGGGGCAGTGGAGCGCCAGGCTTAAATTTGCTTTGCCGCACCGGACTGAGTAGACCGAAGACGCAACACTGATTCGTATTAAGTTCTAGCCTGCTCGCATGTTTTTGTTCCAGCCAATGCCTCTTGTCCTCAAACAAATCCGTTACACATACGCGAGAGTTTACACAAAAAGGTGAGCATTAGTTTCCAATCTCTGTTCGGGTTCATGTTCATGGCTCAAGGCGATGAAATGGCTGGTTAACGCAAATACTAAATCAACAGGCCTTCATATGGACATTCAAAAAGGAAAGTCGCCTGAGAATGGAAAGAGTCTTTTGGTTCAATACTTACTTGGGTGGACATTCTTGAGGGGAAACATGAACACTCAACAATTTTAGCTCAAGCCGCTTTGCCTGAAGCCATACTGGCATTGAACATCTGCTGGGAAAGCGTCCCAAGCTTGGACAGCGGCCCACCAAGCAGTGCCGCCCAGGTGACAACACAGTGACAAAGCGGGACTGGCAGGTGCGATCGGAAGAGTACCGTGTACAAAAACATCATGAAACGCCTCTACAAGCAGTGCCATTTGCGGCGGCAAACGGACTAGCAGGCCGGGGATTACTGCGATCTCATCCAACTGCAGCCCCACGGTGAGCTTACGTTCCCTGCGACAACTCCTGGATGCAAGAGAACCCTGACAAGTGGGAGGGCTATTCTTTCTACACCTGGGAATCCGCCATCGAGAAGCGTGTAACCGAAAGCTACAGCATGCTCTCTGCAGTTGACAAAGCTCCGGAATCCGGACTTCTGGTTTACAGTTTAGGGTTTGGGCCTGGGGTCCTCCGAGGACTTTAATAAACCCGTGTTCAAAGTCAAAGATACAGTCGATCTGGTATATCCGATCGACTGGATCTTTGACTTTGAACACAGGTTTATCAAGATCCTCGGAGGACCTGTTCATGCCGAGCCGATCGACCCGGAATCCTATCAGGGAGCTCCCGGATGAACCTAGTATAACCCTAATAACCCTAATATAACCCTAATATACATCTAATATAACCCTAATATAACCCTAATATACATCTAATATAACCCTAATATAACCCTAATATAACCCTAGTGTAACCCTAATAACCCTAATATAACCCCAATAGAATATTCCACGCAGCTGACTCTCGAAAAAGGATGCGCGCACAATGTGCTTGTGTGGGGCTGGGGGCTGGCCAAACTTAGGGGTCCCCATAATCAGGATTATAGTATTTTCGGCTTTAGATTTGGGTCCCCTTATCTACGGAAACCACCATCTTGAAGTAGCCCGCAAAGCACGGAATTGGTCACGAACATCCTGATAGCCTGGACGTTTCGAAAGACAGCTGTATCCCTTGTCTTTAGGGTTTAGGGGTTTTAGGGATTAGGTTTCAGGGTTTGGGGTTGAGGGTTTAGGGTTTGCTCGCAGCTGGGACCAGTACTGCGGCTGAAGAGACAAGTCATGCCTGGTATTGCCAAACGTTACTTGCACCACCGGGACACCAGGAGATACACGGTTACCCTAATATAACCGTAATATAGCCCTAATATAACCCTTATATAACCCTAGTATAACCCTAATATAACCCCAATATAACCCTAATATAACCCCAATATAACCCTAATACAACCCTAATATAACCCAAATATTTTTCAACCGTAAGCTGTGCAGTCATCGCATATCACGCTTTTTCACCCCTAGCTCCTAAACCTTAAACATTCCAACGCGTTGAACCCGAAGAATATATAACCCGCAACATATTCCCGTATTCCCTATACAACGCCATGTTTTCTGGAAGCATGTAAGCACGAATTTCCATTTTCTTTCCCATTATCCCCATAAAATCCTTAACTACATATAGTATATTCCTTTATGATCTTTATTCCCTTTATACTAACCTTAAACACTAGACCCCAAACAAAACCCCTACGTAGCCGTGACTTCTGGACGCCTCCTTTTGCAGGGAGCCAGACTCCGGGCTTTGGAGGCAGAGGTGACCCAGTTGGCCCGGCAAAGGCACCGCGCTTGGTCTTCCAAGGATAGGGGTTTTGGGTTTAGGGGTTTAGGGTTTTGGGCTCTAGGGGTTTAGGGCTTTAGGGTGTAGGGCTGTAGGATTTAGGGTTCACGGTTCAAGCTTTGGGGTTGAAGGGTATTTAAGGTTTGGGTTTAGGGTTTCGGGTTTAAGGTTCATGGGGCCCAGGGTTTGGGGTCAAGGGTATCTACCCTAAACCCTAAACCCTAAACCCTAGGGTTTTCGTTCCACCTTCCTCTCAGTAAGATGGGTCATTCCGCCTTGCTCTCACGCTCATGGCCCGTTTTTGGATACACTTTTTGGATACCCCTAAACCCTAAACCCCTAAACCCTAAACCCTCAACATGGTGTGGACCTCTCACGTTGGAGGAGGTCATAGCTTTTTGACGGTCATCGTAAGCGTTGCCTCCTTGAACTTCTGTCTGGTTGCTATTAAGCGGAACCTTAATGGGGGTTTAGGGTTTAGGGTTTAGGGTATACCTTAAGAAGCAGGGAGGCTTAGGGAGCTTTAGGGAGGCTTAGGGAGGCTTAGGGAGGTCTAGGGAGTCCTTACTTTTGAGTCCCCCTTATATGGGGTTCCCTTGAGGATTCCCTAACTGTTGCTACGGCTTCGTGAGGGTGCCCTGGCTCGTTGACAGCAGTGGGTCTACCTATGACCCTGCTTCCACAACTCCAGTTCCCCATCTCTGGTTGCTTCATGTTAGGCCTTCGTGGTCTAGGTGCCCCTGTTGTGTCATATGGAAGTTTATCGAAACATTCCGCATGAATCCTTCAAAGCGCTCCAAATACATCCATTACAGTTATTGACGAAAAAATCCCCATGGTCCCGATGCTGACCTGTTTTGAGAAATCCTCAACTGGTAGTTTCCCAAATAAGGGGACCCCCAATCTAGACCCCTAACATACTATAAAATTATCTGTATTCTAGGCAGGCCCCCCAAAACGGCACACCTATCTTCAGAAACCGCCAAATAAACTCCCCAAGCCCCAAACCCTAACCCCTAAGACCTTTGGGCCCAGGCAGGATTTGGTGGATCGCTGGAACCTCAGCATTGCCTCAAGGAGGTCAGCTTGGTGCCACATGCTGCCGTTGAGCTATCCTAACCTCTGAGGGTTTTGTTTATTTTGCATGGTGGCACGGGCTTTCCGTGTTTAGGGCCAGGGTTTAGGGTTTAGGGTTTGGGAGAATTAGAATGGGGATTCAGAAAAGACCAAAACTGTGCATTCCTTTTGGGTTCCCCGTATAATACGCCCCCACGGTACCTGCAAAGCGGTCATCATGTTCAGAGCTGTTCATATGTATCATACAAAGCCAAACAGTACAAAAGACCCTAAGCTCAGAACCCTAAACCTTAAGCCCTAAACCAGTAATCCGCGAAAACCCAAAGAACCCTATACCCCTAATCCGCTAAAACCCTAAATCCCTAAAACCTGAATTCCTAAGCCCTAAACCCCAACCCCCCAAACCCCTAAACCTCTAAACCCTAATCGTGTGCAACAGATCTGAGGCCTAGACCAGGAAGGGAAGGATCGAAAGGCAGGATCTGGAGTTTAGGGTTTAGGGTTTCTGAATGAATTGCACGGCCAAAAAAAGATTAGGGCTTAGGGTTTAGTGTGTAGGGTTTCTGAAGCTGGAGCACCATCAATAGCCAGGCCGACGTGGAAGGCTGTGCGGGTGGCGCCGAGAAGCGCGTGGCTGCTCGAGCCTCATATCAGATTTCTTTCAAGCTGCACCCTGCTTTCACCTCCTAATCTTGCACTTTTCCTTTTTTTTGATTTAGGCGGTGGAGCTCGTTGCCAATGCCCGTTTCGAGCGGGACGCTTAAAGGCTTGAGTCGTGACTCGAGGCTCCTTCCATGGCATGCTTCTTAAGAAACTCCCGGCCATGGATGTGGCTTTCAACCCTAAAGCCTGGACCCAAAGACCTAACCCCTGAACCCTATCAGGTCTGTGAGGCGGGCATTGGACGAGTTGGTGTCCGAATTCCAGGGCTACGTGCTGCCGGCTCGGAGTCAGCTTACTCTTGCAATCTCCGCAGAGGCGTACTTGTATCACTATGTTGATTATGACTATTGTTTTTATCACTGTTTGAAACATGGTTACTGATGTTCTTAGTGCTCTTATTTTGATTATTAGTATTACTACACTGTAGTATCATTACTATTATTGCGGTGGTGATTGCCTCGCCATTCTGCAGCTCTCCCCATGTATGTGTGGGAATGGAAATGCCTCTAGTCCTTCTCGTAATTTTTCTTCTGGTCTAACCAGTGGTCCTGCACCTTGTACCAGCTCCTCAACTCTAAATCCTGCGCCCTCTCCGCCTGGTGAAGGGTGGTCAGCAGTGCAAGTGCTACTCGTAGCCTGTATCCTGAAGACTAGATTTGAAGCATGGCATGGAGCCTGGCTCAACGTTGCAGCTGTAGCGCTGCCGCTACATGAACTGAAGTCTAAATACCTGAAAGGCTGGTTATATAGGGGAACAATGATAGGGCTTGTCATGCATGGTGCAAGAAGCGGAATGATGGTGGGCACGTCGCCAGGTCCGCGAGCATTTAAAAAGGGCATCTGGAGGGTCCAGGTATATAACCCCCAACAGTATAATACATTCCATGCTCTTGTCCATTCTTTCACTCAAATTCGCAAGCGCACTCTACAACACTAAGCCCGCCTGTACAGCTCCATAAGCCCCACTCTTTCGAATCTCCGCCCAAACCCTAAACCCTCAACCCCTAAAACCCCTAACACTCAAGCCCTAAAACACCTGAACCACGTCATCATCCCATTTTTCCGTTTGATTCCCCTGAACCTGCGCCCCAAGTCCTAAAAACCAACCCCTAGAACCTGCGGCCAGAAAACAAGCCTAGAAGGTTTGGAGGCCTGGGTACCCATTATTGGGGGCCCTGGGTACTGAAGCCGAAACATTGAATCTTGTCATAGGTTGCATGTTCTTATCGATTCCCTTATATACCCCGAGATCACCCCAATTAAGGGTACTAGGAGGGCCCTGGTAGGGACTACGATGTTTTTCAATTCCTTGCCGCCAACTAGTAAGCTTAATATATCACGGCATCAACCTGCAATCTGACATTGCGCCTCCTAAACGCTGAAACTTAAACCGGAATACATACATCCCAAACCCTCTAACCCTGGACCCTGAACCCTAAAACTCATACCCTAAACCCTATATACCCTAACCCTAAAACCTATACATTCTCAGGCTTTTTTTTCAAGAAAAGTGCGTACAACGGCCCGAAGCCCAAAAACTCTGGTCCCTAAATTGGGTTGCTGGTAAGGAAGTTAGGATAAGTTGCCAAATTTTTACGACACGACTTTTAGAGTTTGTAGTAACTTCAGTTCATGTTGCAGTAGCAGAAGCCCTTAAACTAATATAGCATCATGGTTTCCATTTTGGTTTCCAATATATAAACCCTATGTATCGCTCATATACCGCCTTTAACGGGCGGCGCACACAGTCTTCAGTAACCTTGCACTGGCACGAAGCCCTAAACCCCGAAACCGCTAAACCCCCAAAGCCGCAAAAACCCTGAATCCTAAACCCTAACCCTAAACCCTCAGCCTTAAACCCTGAAACCCTAAACAGCCGAGCCAGGTGCGAACTGAGCACGCGCGCTCCATGGACGTGGCCAGGTTAGAAGCCTTGGAATCTCCGGCATGTACTTATGTGATTCAAAGTTTCGTGCGGTCAGGGATTGTTAAGGGGATCACAGTACCTTCTTATGGGTTATTTATGGGTACTTATGTTAAGTACTTGCGTGTTTCATCATGTACTTGTATCATGTACTTATGTGGGATCCTCGTGTTGGGACCTAGGCGTTCAGAGGACCTTCTAGCGGACCTTAGTACTTATGTAAGGATTATTTTGGGTTTAGGGTTTAGGGTCTAGGGCTTAGGGTTTTTTGTGCTTCACGCCTCAACCATAAAACTCTAAGGGTTGAGGGCTTAGAGTTTTAGTACTTCAAGCCTCAACCCTAAAACCTAAACTAAAAGATTATGTGCTTGTGTTGGGATAGTGGACACAGCCATCTGAGCGAAGTGTTTTTGGGTAATGGCTGGTGTCCCCCTTAATGGAGAATCCAGTTGAAAAGTAAGCATAAACTGAAATGGAGACTAGTGATATAGGGGGTTGGATCATACAGGGATATTACCGCCAGTAATGGAGAATCAAATGGAAACAATATAGATTTACACAACCTTAAGACCTAAATCCTAAATTCTAAACCTTAAACCCCAAACCCTAAACCCTGAGCCCTAAGCCCTAATTGAACCCGAAACCCTAAATCCTAAACCCTAAACCCTTGACCCTAGATTTTCCTAAATCCTAAACATATAGGGTCTTATCAGGGATACATCAGCGCCTTCGCTTGAAGACGCCGTCGCCAGGTCCGTGCTCTGGAGGCCCTACCTTGCCGTTGAGTTGAAGACACCTATAGCAGGGACAATAGCCTTAAGAGGGTTTAGGGTTCAGGGTTTTATTAGGGTTATGTTGGGGTTATATTTGGGTTATATTGGGGTTGTATTGGGGTTATAGAGGGGATAAGCGGAAAGAAAATGGAAGTTACTATATTATAACAGGGACAGTAGCGTTCATATTAGGGTTCAGGGTTGAGGGTTTTGGGCTTTGGGTTTTGGGTTGAGGGTTGAGGACTTAGGGTTGAGGGTTTAGGCTGTAAGGTTTAGGATAACAATGATAATAGTAGCACCCATAATATGTATAGTAAGAATGATATTTAAAAACAAAACAGGAACCATTGCAATGATCGTAATACTAGCTATGGTAATACTACATGTAGTAATCGTCATCATCGTAGTCATCATGCTGATCAAACAGTGCTGAGAGCACTGTTGGTAGTCTACACTAGTCTACACATACCCCCAGGAGCCCAACAGCAAGGGTTTCTGTCATGTGAGAACTTCCAGTACTACCGTCTCCGTCATGCCCTAGAGCCTACCTGAACCTTAAATCCTAAACTCTGTAGGTGCGGGTATGGCCCTGGCGCAACGGAGCAAAGGAGCGTAGCAGCTCTCCGCCACCTGGTGGACCTCCTTTAATCTCGCTGGCTTCTGAGATCCACGATGTTTGCCACTTAAGGAAGATCTAGGGTTTGGGGTTTAGGGTGTGAGATGTTTGCCAGTTAAACAAGATAAGGAAATGCTGAGTTGAGCCTTTTGATTGCTACGATTTCACTTGACATTGTTCCACAGTATTCTGATGATGACGGGCAGGATGCTTACGATGATGACAATGACGCTGATGACGACGACTACGATCATATGATGATGATGATGATGATGATGGTGGTGGTGGTGGTGGTGGTGATGATGATGATGTCTTGATGGCATGTCTGCTAGCCTGTTGGGGCTGTTGTCGCTATCACAACCGAGGGTATGGCTCGTGAATGGTTCACCCGTCTACCATGTCATTCCCTAAGCCTGAAACCCTTAACACTAAACCTTAAATAGTAGTTTCCATTTTCTTCTCCACTATCCCAATATTACCCCAAGACCCTAAACCGAAAACCCTACATAATCCTATTGTAGTAGTTTGCATTTTCTTTTCCAGTACCCCCATATGTATACGTATACTGTATATATAATGTTATATGTATAATATCCCTAAACCCTAAACCCTTGAACTGCCCTAAACCCCATATTCTATCTACTGAAGGGGGACTATAACCTTAAACTGCCCTAAGCCCCATATTCTATCTACTTACGGGGGACTATAACCCTAAACCCTAAACCCTAAACTGCCCAAAGCCCTGTACCAGCAAATTGGGGAGTCCTGGAAATCACGAGGCCGAAGGACCCACCTTGGTCGGAGGCCAGGGTCGGAGCTAATTCTCTTCAAAGCTCAGGGTTTAGGGTTTAGGGTTCAAAGCTCAGGAAGCAGGAACATTCATAGTGCCGCAAAGAGGAAGTCATAGTGAACAGTGTTGAGTTCTGAGTGGACCTGACTATGGCGTTTGACATGTCCAGACTCTAAACCCTAAAGCCCCAACCCCCAACCCCCCAACCCCAACCCCAAATATGGCTTTGTGACTCCAGATGATGGGTTAAGTTGGAGATCCTTTGTTGCTTTGAGTGAATATGCGGCGGTTTATGACGAAGGGATAACTGCTGGCGATTCTCCAAACCAAGCGCCTGCCTTATCTGAGTACCCATTAAGAACCAGTAAGAAGTGGTCGGGCTGCATTCGCCGGAGTGCTGCTTACAGCCCAGAAGGGATGGCGCGCGTGACAGCGGTGACAACAAAGGCACAGATGACATGTGGATGGTTGTCAAAATGATGTCCCTTTTTGGGTACCCGAAATATTAGGTGCCGCATTATAATAGGGATCCAAAAAGGGACCATAATTTTGACAACCACCCATGTGTGGGAATGAGGAATGTTACAACCATCATGGCTATCATAAGAGCTTGGGTCATCCTAGTAGGATATACATGGATAGAGCAGTACTGGTCCAGGTTTAGTGTTTTAGGGTCTAGGGTCAAGGTTATTTTAGGGTTTAATTGCTTGTCCATACTTGTACTGTTGAAGCAAGACGACCCATTCGGAAAGCGCCGGCCATCGCACACTCTGGGCCACTGTTGGGTAAACATCTTGTTTTCACGATAACCCCGGTTCGGTGCAGTTTCGGTTATTTCTAAAACGGCTCGGTTCGGTTCGGTGTTTTTTTGCAAAATGTCGGTTCGGCTCGGTTATTTTTTTCATGTCGCGGGTCGATGCGGTTTCGGTTTTCATTCCAGGG